CTGTTACGTGGATGTTTTACAGTATGTACGCCTGTACTAGTTTATCTGTTGTTTGTGTCTTCCTGTACTAGTTTATCTGTTGTTTGTGTCTTCCTGTAATAGTTTTTATTTTCCGTATTTCATGTTTTTGTTTACAATTTTTTAAGTTTTCAGTAAATTCTATTATCGTGTAGTCGTTTTTAGTTTTTCCATAGTTTGAGTCGTGGTATATTAGTTTTAATTTTTCCGTAGTTTCCGTCTTAGTGTATTATTTACCTCCATTTCCTTCTGAAGAGGCTTACGCTAAAAAAAAAATTTCCAGTCACCTCGCTAAATTTAACTCTGAGGGGTAGTGGCATGATTGTCGTTAGGATTTTTTTTTTTTACCGGAGGAAGGGTGTCGTTTCTGAAATCACACGTAGATCTAAGTAAGCCGTGAGTCAGTAGTAGTCCATACATGGTCCATCGCAAGGATAGTGTCAGATTGAATATATGCAGTCACAAACCAAAGAGGTTAAGGATATAGCATTGTGACGTCATCATCGGCACCTTCTGCAGCAATATATTTAACCTCCCTGACTATCAAAATTCAACTGAGGTTCAAAAGGGAAGCCGTTCGCACTCCACAACCTCCCTTCTCCAAGAATGACCCAAGTTTGTGAACTTGAAGGAGCAGCACTGGATAATATGAGCGAAAACATTGTAGCTTATAATCGTCGAGTATTACATATTCTCACGTAAAATAAATATAAAAATTTAATATATCCACTACACTGGTATATGGTTGCTGTAATAATAAAGTAATGATGTTTACTGGTTATAAACCAGAACCACCCCTAATATCCAATCATAGGGGCCGTTTTATCGTCCATTACTTTCAGGAGTTATTTTGTTCACTTTGTTTTATTAATGTTCATATTGATTACAAAAGTGTGTTATGATGATATTGGTGAAATGCACAAAACGTACATACTGTAAACATCCATGTAACAGACTAGAATCGTTCACAATTCTCTTACGTACATACTGTTAACATCCACGTAACAGACCAAAACTATTCATAATTCTCTAGTATTACGTACGTACTGTAAACATCCACGTAACAGACTAGAACTGTTCGCAATGCTCTAGTATTACGTACATACTGTAAAACATCTACGTAACAGACTAGAACTGTTCACAACGCTCTAGTATTACGTACATACTGTAAACATACACGTAACAGACTAGAACTGTTCACAACGCTCTAGTATTACTGTAAAACATCCACGTAACAGACTAGAACTGTTCACAACGCTCTAGTATTACGTACATACTGTAAAACATCTACGTAACAGACTAGAACTGTTCACAATGCTCTAGTATTACGTACATACTGTAAAACATCTACGTAACAGACTAGAACTGTTCACAATTCTCTTAAAAGACACAAACAACAGA